GTGTGCGTGTGTGTGTGCGTGCGTGCGTGCGTGCGTGCGTGTGTGTGTGTGTGTGTGTGTGAGTGTGTGTGTCTGCCTCTGATACAGTATCTGCACTGGCATCATCTCTCAGCATGACTTCTAAGCTGTGTTTCATTGTAACTCATTGAATCTGTGGAGGGCACAGAGACGACCTCAACAGAGAGCCAGTTTTCCCAAGCGGGACCGTAATGGAACTGCCGAGGATTCATTAGAACGTTATAGAAACATCAGTGTTGAGTTTAATTAACACACTCCCTTCTGAGATTAATTAAACTTGGCATAAAATGCCATTCAATTTATTTAATGGAGCTAACGGATCTTCTGAAAGCCAGACGCTGGTAAGTGGACGCTAGTCACCTGGATAGTCACCAACTACTCTTAATGCTTGGCCTATGAATATTAATAGATTACGTAGGCGGATGTTCCAGGAAGGTTACCTAACAATGTCACCTAATTAATATTCATGAGTCCATGTCATAATTTCATAAGCATCATCAAAACTCACGTATTGAATGTTGGGTGTATTAATGTGCTGTTCTCACTCTAAGAGATTTGGAACAGTTTTTGTTATAAAAAGCTCAGTGTAAATAAAAGGAAGTAAAAGTCAACAACACTTATTTCTGATAAATGAGAAAGAGCAAGGTCTTTACTATTTTTATTAATTCTCTCACTGTAAATAATAATCAGTCCCTAATAAAATCCTGCAGCTCTTCAACAAGTATACAACTGTTCTTCAAAGATGTGGAACTGCATTATCAGTAATATTCCATGTTGAATAATACATCCTCAATATCCGTTTGATTTCTAGACTTCACCATACGGTCTGGATTATGTGCATGTATCTGGATCTTCTGTACCTGCTCCAACCTCTTTCAGACCCACTTTTAAGAATATAAAAGCCAACGATGTGCACATTACACAAGCTCTCACACCATACACATAGAGGAGAATATCAGTGATTCTCAGAATCATTAAACAAGCCTCAAACAATGCTCCAGTCCTTCAGTTCTGCTCTTATCTAGCACATGATGTGCAGTACATTCACTCTCCTCCAGACCCTGTAATGTCTGCCCAGAATACTCGCGTGGACTCAACCCAGGTGATGAGCATTCGTTGATATAATTAGATTGTTCTCTTAATCTAATTTTAGATTCATTCAAGACTTACCGAAGCCAAAGGCTGGAGACGCAGGGATGGGAGACGACTGGACAGAAGTGGAGGTGTAGAGACCGGTGACCAGCAGCCCATCGAAGTAAGTACTGGTGGAGATCGTCACTGCAGACACACACAGAGAGAGAGGAGAGACAGAGGGTCAGAATTCACTGATCAATGACATCTGAGGAAAATCCAGCAAAAAAATACTCCACAAGTTAATTGTGAGAGGCCTTTGGAAAAGTGCTTTGGTACTCAAAGTAAGAAAACAGTTAAATGGATTTTCCATCTTAAAGGTCTACTTGGTTATGGTTTGAGGGGAAAATGCTCATGGTGCATGGGAAGAAATCTGGGCTGTGTTTCCCAGAAGCATCGTAAGCCTAAGTTGATCGTAGCTCCATTGGTTTCAATGGGTCCACAATGTACTTAAGCTTACGCTGCTTTTGGGAAACGCAGCCCTGGTCAAACTTAGTAGTAAATTTAGATCTTATTTGGACTGATTCAAAGATTCAAACGGCGATTCATTTGGACTGGATGCTGCTAATGAACGAGACTCAAATCATCAATGCGATCATTTGGGCTGGTCACTGAACTAATTAGTCACAGAATCTGACCATTGTTCTTCTTTTGGAAAAAAAATCACAAAATCCCACATTAGGTCAAGGAAGCAGTGCCTCTCTCACACAAATCAAGATCTGAGTAAATAACGTACAGTACATAAATAAACCAAGCAAAAATGACGAAATGAATTTGTTCTAAAGTACACAGTCCAACAGGCAACAACAGCAGATGACGTTTGGGAAGAGGATGCATCTCTGAGCTCATGGTGCTCTCTCTGAGGTCCTATAGTATTGGGCGAGTGACAGAAAACAGGTGTATGTCACATGAGAGAAGGCAACGCCTCAATCGTACCATGATCGGCTCATTAATCTGTCAAAGCGATACAATGCTCACCAATAGTCTGCAAAGCCACATAAAAAGCATGAAATGGAAATGGAATATGATTTTACATTGGTTCCTCAAGTCCATCACTCACTACTCAGTTAATTACCATTTCAATTACAAGCACACATACGCTTCCCTAGTAAACGCATGCATTACTCCAAGCGTGTTTCTCATTGATTTGTACAAACTGAGGAACAAGACAAAATTAATGTCTGTAGTAATCAACAGGATGGCACAGATGTGGTTCAGAGACACCGAATGGAAAATAACCCAGAATCCTCCTGAAGAGCTGAGAGAGAGCAGATGTGTGTCCAGGAGGCGAACGCGACACCTCACCAGACGGCAGACGTCAAAAAGACATTTTCTCATGGTGAAGATGTCACTAAACACTGTGAGGAGATACATCTTAAAAGAGTGTGAGATTGACAGAAGAGGGGGAAAACATACTACCTTGACATTCTGAGTCTGTAGAAACCAAACAACAGCAAACGTAACTAAGACACATGCAGTCATACTCAAAAAAAAAACAAAAAAAACAATGCTGCTTAGTCAAAATTAAAATGAAAAAGAGCTAATGAAACACCATTCTTGAACATTTTCACAACTTCGTTTCATTGCATGCTTTTGTTTCTTTTGGCATTATAATGTAGCATTGCTGAAACTGGGCAGAGTGTTTTCATTCTTGGCTTGGGAGAGTGAATGTTGAGGTTATGTGTTATTTTAATTATGTGTGTTTTTCAGCAACATGATAAAAGAGCAGACGTGTTTGTGCTGAATGTTCTGTTATGCTGGAGTTTCTTTAGGTTGAAGAGTGAAGATGCGCTGTAAAAGTGCAGTAAAAGCTCTTCGTTCAGTGAAAAGACAGAGTACTTCATGAATAGACTGGTAATTGTTGAGACAAGCATTTTTTTCTGACAAGAAACGTGGTTCAAAACCAAAAGCCAACAGCAGATCCGCTCTGAAAGCCTGCTGCGGGTTTAACCAACTGTTTGACAAAATCCCAGACAGACAGATCATGAAATAGTCAAAGAAAATCATTATTATTAATAACATTAGTTCTAGTTTGATTATTATTTTACAAAAACAAATTACTAGAGACTCTCACTATTTCTTTCTTTATGAGTACTCTGTGTGTGTAAGAGTGTGTGTAGTTTGTCTAGACGTGGATACACTCCGGATTAAAAACATATCCCTCGTTCCTGCCTCTCTCCCCCCATGCCAGCTTCAATAATTCATCCTCTTACTGCCAGTGTAATATCTAGTCCTCTCTCTCTCCATTTTCCCTTTTCTTGTTTTTAACTACATCATTCCTTACCTCGCTTTCTAAATAAGTGCAACTCAGTATGTACGGATCAGGGTGATCGCTTTACATCCAGTTCATTCACATTAAGTCATGATATCAATGAGAGAAATACATTGTGGACATTTTATAAGTGCATGACAGTTTCGGTCTTTTCTTCATGCAAAGCTGTCGTACAGTTTGAGAAGACAGTGAATACAGCGCACATAGTCATACTGGCTGCATTTAAGGTGCTTTAATAGTATTTCTATTCTTTTTGGAGTTTAAAAATGCTTCAAAGATTTATGCAAATACAATATTGGCAAAATTGTAATTTTTGAGTGAACTCTTCCGTTAAACGTCAAGAAAATGCACATGCACCTTGACAAATCCAGAACCCAAAAAGCGTTCGCTCTCCTCACACGAGGCACCTCGGGCTCAAAGCATCGCTCCCTCAAGAGCGCAGCGCTTTTCATGCAGGAGAAGCATTCGAAGGCGGGTGGGAGTGCAACGCGAGCGATTGGGCCAAGAGGTTATTATGAGCAACAAACAGCACGGTGGAGGAGGGAGAAAACAGGGATGGAGGGACGTCTGGAGAGGCCCGTGGAAAAAGAGTGATCGATGAAAATGAAAGACGTAAATAATTCAGAAATCCATCTGAAAGGGGAGCAGAAGTGGGGGAAGGGAGGAGAAAAGAGGATAACCTGGTAAGGGTAACTCATAAAAACAGACATATTCACCTGCGGGGGTTTGCATGCGCACAAAGCTGCGCTTTGATGAGAACTCTTAACATTCACTCCACACCCGCACACACTCAAACTCTCCCGATGAGCAGTATTTGACTGTCTTTAGCAGAAAGAGAGACGACGTGCCGCTGGGAGATGGAGATGCGGCAGGTACGTCGCCGCAACACTGATCTCTTCCATCTAGTCTTGTCCATCCAGTCGCTCTCTCTTTGTCTCTGTGCCGTCCTGCCCATCATGCAATATAGATGGTGCGATGTAGTACGCCTCATTACCAACACTCACCGCCACGCTGCTGCTCAACTATTGATAAACCTCGGGCCTGGAAAGCATCCCTGTACTCGCTGGCATTAACAGAAGGGGCTGCTTTCTGTTGTAGAAGAATACCAAACAGAAGAGGAAGGGCCGTGTTGGGACGAAGCGCAGGAGCGATGCTTCTCGAACCGTTTTCTGAAAGAGGTTCAGCAGGTTCAGACACGGATGGCTCTATATGTGTGGTGCTGTCGTCTGAACAGCACCTGGTGGCACCCTGAACGCCAGACGCAGGAGCAGAAGAGTGAAGCGAGAGCAGTTGGCAGGGCTGTGCATTACCTCACTCCTAGTTAACAGCATGGCAGTGGAATAACTCCTGCCAGCGTGTGCAATGAATATCAAACCTTAATGCGTTTGCAACAGTCGCTCCTAGTCGAGCACAACATTTATATACAGTCAAACCAAAAATTATTCAGACACCTTCAACACTTCTCACATTATCACAGTTTACTCGCTATAGTTTAGAAATATGCCAAGAACTCAGAGTTAAACTGTGTCCGAACAAATTCATCTTGATAATGTCAGATAACTTTGATAGAAAGGTATGTAATGAATCAGACTGTCAGCTGTTAAATTTAAGTACACAATTAGATAATACCAATTTAGGTCAAACAATTACCAAGCAATGCTTAATTCTGTTGTCTGTGGTGTAAAAGTCTGTGGTGTAAAAAGGTCGCATTAGCAATTAAAGAAAAAACACTTCAGCAAAACATGCTCAGGTCAAAGTGTCTGAATAATTTTTGATCCCAAATTTTACTGGTAGTCCACTGTATGAAGAATGTTTGGATATAATATGTCACAGTTTACTTTATTTTGCTATCCTCACTTACATAAATGAACTATAGTGTCCTGCACCCACTAGTAAAAAAATATCAAAAATTATATCTGGTCTCTGAATAATCTTTGGTTTGACTGTATAGCTACTCCCAGTGAGCAAGGCAAAGGAGGCTAAAGAACAGAAGAAGAAAAACAACTCCACAAGATGTTTAAGCAGAGAAACCTTGTGAGGAAGCAGACTAGTGGGCAGGATCAGCGACACAGAGGAGATGAGAGTCTGGAACCAGAGAGTTCCCGCTGGTGATTCTGAAATGCCCGTATGAACTCCCGATTCTGTCCATCATAAACATAAGTGTCATTCCAGCCTGTCACACCTGTGACCCGTCTCAGCCTCACAACCACAGTGCCACACTTCCACCTCCGTGTATGTCAGAAGATACATGCAATATGACAGAAACGTTACTCTGTGGCCTTCTGAGCCGCATTTGACATCCCACTGGAAACCTAGTGTGCCCTTGAGAAGCCGGAAGCGGGGAGAGGCCACCAGCAGCGACTCGGGCCATCTGTTTCCCCGGCCGGGCCAGTCTCAGAGCCATCTCCTGCCGCTCCGGTCCAGTGCTGCTGATCTGGGCCGCGCCGCGCCGTATCAATCAGCATCGGTGTGGAATGTGTGATGAGTTTACGTGTGTCAGTGACAGCTGGATAGCACTTATCAAACTGTGATGATTCTCTTGCGTAACCCTGTATCGCCTCTCTGCCCTGCTGGCCGCGCCATCTGCTGTTGCGAGGGCTTGTTGCTGTCAAACACGCTCGATCGCTCTAACAAACATTAACAGGTCAGCTTCCTGAGTAACAGCTTCTTTAATGATGCTCCTAACCTCTTAATAGATGCTAACCTGCTCCGAACACGAGTAAAAACAAAACAGAAGGCAGAGGTGATCATGTTATTCCATAAGGAAAGTTGAAAGCTTACAACATTTAAAACAAGCAGCTTTTATGGAAAACCAGTTTTAAATTGTGTAACCTCCGATCTGGTGAATATCTCTCTTGAAACAGAGCAGGATTCT